CTGGGCCTGTGCAGCTTCCCTCTCTCCCTGCCACCTCCCCCTCCCTGCCAGCTGTTGTCAGGGCCCCCCTCCCGCTCTCCTCCCTCACCGCTGCCCAGCCATGACAGCAGCTGCTATGGTGAACCCCCCTTTGCCTCCTCCTGCCCCTCTCCCCTCCCCTCCCTCTCTACCTGCCCGCTGCCTCCCCCTCCCTGCCGGCTGTTCTGAGGGGCCCTGGGGATGGGGGTGGGCTCCACCACTGTGACCCCCCCGCCCCCTTTGCCCTCAGGCAGGGAACCTTGAGGAAGCCCCACTGCTCGGGCAGCCGGAGCATGTTCGATGCCGCCACAAACTTCCCCAACAGCAGCTCAAACTTAGGCCCGAGCAGCCCAGGTCTGCACAGCCTGCTTGGCGGCACGTGCACAGTTGCTGAAAAGCATCATGGGCAGACAGATGCACAGAGAGACAGACTGTGCCCTTCATTGTATTAGAGTATATGGTTGGTTAGCTTCAACTCTGGCTAGTTTGTTATGTGCTTGTTTTACTTCAGCTTGCTGTAGAAGAACTAAAAGAGCTAGAACACCAGAAACGAGAATTGCACAAGGTGGGAAATGCTCTTATTGACTTTTTCTGTGAAGACAAAGACACTATGAAATTGGACGAGTGCTTCCAGATATTTAGGGACTTCTGCATAAAGTTCAACAAGGCTGTTAAGGTAAGAAGAATGAATACAGGTTCTCATTCATTTAAAGTAAATCTTGGATCACCTTAGAATTGGACAATGTTTCTGTCTTAAGGGACTTAACGTCCACATCGTGTTCAGTGCATTAGAATTGTAGTTTACATACTTGTAAGACTTTTATTGCTCTAAGAAACTGGAAAATGTCCCAACCTTTCCAATGCAACAGTGAAGGATTTGTGTCCCCCAACTATTTTGTTACTGGCAAACAATTTTGTTACGTGGTTATTTAAAAGGCAGGTCAGACTAGTCCCTTTAATTGCTACTAAAAGTTAACTTTCCCTCATTTTCCTTTCAAATCTGTAAAAACTCCTAGCCTCTGACCAGTATTTCTGGAGGAGAGTATTATGCATTATCCTGGGGCCACAGTCCAAAGGCTGTGTTGTCTCTTTGGAGGGGGCAAGGGCTTGACTAGAAAGCAGACCAAAAAATTTTTATCTCTGTATTTCAACACCTGTACTAGAGACTACCACATCCTAACGCAGAGGTGGAGGTTGCTTTTGTCATCAAAGTGGCTTATGTTGCCTTTGTTTTACGTTTTGTTATTGGAAAAACACAAGGTTACAGGAGACAGCTTTTGTGTTCTTTGGCTCACTTAAGCCAAGAAGTCATGCCCATGTTTTCCTACACTGTTATATAATGGTATGAACAGGCACCTTACAATTAAGTAACCTTTTGACATTACTATTTTAAAAGTCTGAGAGAGATTACTATGGAATTGGAAGTCAATATCTGAGCAATGCCCTTTTGCTAGTACAGACTGAAATGAAGCAGGCACACAATACTGAGGTACAGAGCAATAGACTGCAAGTACCAAGGTAGTCTGTGTGCTTATGTATAGGGCCCTGAGAAAATCATGGATTTCTTGTCAAAAATGTGCAGCGCGTGCACAGGTAAAGTATCATTTTTCACGGAATATTCACAGAACTACCACTGATCTTGGCGAATGGGTCCTGGTAGTTCCATGAATATTGCATGCAAAAAGATACTTTACCCACGCATGTGTGACAGGCGGGCTCACAGCCATAGATGGCGGAAGGCCAGGACTAACAGGGCTTAGCCCCCTCAAACACGGGCCAGTGCAGAGGGCTGATTGAGGCCCTCACAGTGAGGGAGGGAGTGGGGCAGGTGCTGTGGTGAGTGGGCCCTGGAGCAGGTCGTGGGACACTTAGAACATGGGCACCTTAGGAGAGGCCAGAGGGGCACGTGAGAAGTTATTTCATGCCTTTGCAGAAGATAGGTGCAGTATGAGGTGTGGGATGCAGTTCATAATTAGATCTTACAAATTTCGATATTTATTATTTAGTGTTCCACTTTGGGGTCATCTTGGCATTACTGTTTTCATTATAATGAAAAATAAATCTCTTATTTGCCAGTAGATTTTCTCTGGGGGTAGGGAGTAGGGGGAAACTCCTACAGTTAGAGGAGTGATTCTAAAAAATATTAGGGTACACTTGTTGAAAATCAGTGCATCATGTAGATGCCCATCAAACAAGACCGAAGACAGGTGATATTCAATAGTTGAAATGCACTCACCCACAAGAAAATGGTAGTTAAACATTTTTGTATATGCATATGTTTGAATATGCAGAAGTGTGTTGTGTTTCATAAGACAGAAGTTTATTTTGGCTTAAGAAGATCTCCAGAATGTGTCCATTGCTTTCTTATTCTTTATACCACATCTCATTAGGGTTTATGTAAGCTTCCTAAATTATTGTTAATTTATTATAAAGCCATGGAAATGTATACAGCTTTATAAAACTCCCAGTTGTTGTATCTTACTATTTTTAGCCAATTCTTTTCTAAAATTCAGCCCATCCTCTCAGGACTTGCCTTTGACAGGTTTGATGCATTTAGTGGTCTTGTTGCTGTGGAACACACTTTGCCACAAAACTTTGCTCAAATCCACCCCCTCACCCAACTCCATTCACAAATGGCTGAACTGACACAAGACTCACTATGTGTTGATGATTTTGTGCTACTTTTGCTACTAGTGCAGTTCTGCTAGTGCTGACGATGGGAACACTAGGGAATATGCAACTCAAAATGAGTTCTTACCCCAAATGTGCATTTCTGGTTATTTCCCTGTTGCACACTCAGTGTAAATGTTGATTTGTGTCAAGGTTTCCCCTCCACCCTGCTCAAACCATGTCACACACATCTGTTCAAAACAGATTTCAGTAGTGTAGTGAAAAAGTGATAGAACTCACTAGCACTTTGTCTACACTACCTTTCTCTCCTTTGTACATGCACTAGTATTGGAAATAGAGGCAAAAGTAGGGATAAGATTTTTGTGGGTTAAATCTGAAACTAGAAGTGGCAATCAAAATGCTGACTCATATGTATTTCACCACTAATGACTAATAGAAATATATTGAATGTTAATGTTATCTCCCAATGTTAACTAATGTTAATGTTATCTCCCAACTCTAAACGGCTGCCTTGTATGTCTTTCCCAGACTTAGAAGTCCTCGTGGTCCAGCCTCCAAAATCTCCATCGTATTGTGCTGTAGTTTCATAGATTCATAGATTAAGGGTCGGAAGGGACCTAGTTAGAGACTTTTGTACCAATAACATGTAAGAGTTCCAAAATTGAGAGGGAGTGTAGCCTAAAATAGAATGTAATAGAAAAAGAATACAGTATATTGTGTTGATTTTAGTATTAATGTTGAGCTTAGATCTGAGGACCTGGCTGTGGAGTTCATTGGAACTTGCCTGTGGATTCCCAGTCATTGGGGAACAATTGCTGCTGTTAGAATTTAGAAGGATCAAATGGAGCCAGTGGCCTTATGGTCTTGAGCAGTGTTTCCCAACCTTTTCCACCCCACAACACACTTACGTGGCCTCTCCCACTCTGCGACACTCTGTGAAATGTGGGGGTGCAGTGGTGGGCGGGCAGGCAAGCAGCAGAGCACTGGGGAACAGGGAGCGCAGCACTTGAATCACTGGCCGGAGCCATGTCCCCTGTCTGTCTGGCTGTCCGCAGCAGCTGCGGGGGGGGGGGGGGGGGTGTGACCCCAGCCCAGAAATGCTGTGGCATACCGGTGTGCCACAGCACACCGGTTGGGAAACATGGTCTTTAGCATCATGCAGGATTGTTTAAATGGACAGTGGCTTCTTACAGACATTAAACAAAAAAAACCCCCAATGCTTTAAGCTTGGCGTGCCACTACGTCAATCACAGTGCATACCCAGAAGAGGCATCATGTTAGTTTGACCCAGCTCACCCAACATCTGTAAAGACTGGGCACTTCAGCAAGGCTTTTTGGTGCTTTTATCTAATAGTTGATTGAATCAGCTTTAGATAAAGGTGCCAAAAAGCCCTGATCTATACTGGCACTGGGTAGCATTTCCTCTTCCGGTAAAGTGCTGGGTTTTTTTGGAGGATGGGGAGGAGGGTTCACATCTGTCAGCAGTCCCCATGTCTAAAAAGGCAAAAAATTGCATTGGTTTTCCCCTAAAGCACCAAGTCTTTTATTCTGGGATCCTAGACCAGTGTTTCTCGACCCATGGGTCACAATGCAAAAGTGTGTTACAAGAATATATGAAAGGGTTGCAAACAAACTTTAAAAATGGATTCTTTTAAAGGAGAAAAATGTAGGAAACCATGGGTTTTCACTTGCAGGTTGGTAGGGTTCCATCCTGAAGAGGCTGACTGGGCCCCCGCCCCACACGCACACACACCCTGGCCCACATACCCACCTCCTGCCCCATACACTGGAGGGGCTGGAGGCATGTGGGGGGGGGCAGTGGGTCAGGAGTGAGGGGCACAGAATTTGGACTGGCCATCAATGTTTACAACTAGGTCCTGATACAAAATAGTTCAAGAACCACTGCTGTAAACTACAAGCCCTTTGTCGTACTTTAAGTACCTGTGAAGTATCCAAGATAACAATTTATCCCCTGGGGCAGTCATACCTAGTTCAACTTAATTGCCATTCAAACTGGGGACAAGCTGTGTGTATAAAGCAATGACTATACTGTGGGCTTTGACTCGGATCAATGAGAACCGTCTCAAATGCAACGCCTGTTCTTACCCAAAATGTACATTTGTTGTTGTTGCCCTGTTGGCCACCCATTGTAAATGTTTGTATAATCAGATAAAATTGCTTTTGTTTACATTTACTGAAGGTGCATTTAAAACCAAGTTGCATATTTTGGTCTCTGCAGGGCCTTGTCAGTATTTTTTAGTGTTTCCTATGCTGGCTGGTCTGTGCTATGTTAGTTATGCAAGAAACTGCTCTCCATGTGGCACTGTAGTTGCTATTGTGATTTTAGTAGAGGACCTAATCACGGTAGAAAAAAGTGGGTGACCTTACTTAGCTAATTGTTAAATAACAGATACTTTGCTGTGGGATATGTATTTATTCCTCTGCCTTCTTTTTCCTTGATAGGAAAACAGGGAACGAGAGATCCAAGAAATTCATCATCGGCAACGAGCAAAAGAGCTGGAAGAAAAGCGCCGATCCTGGGCTGCAGGAGAGCTTGGAGGCTTTGGGAGAAGCAGTAGTGAAAATGATGTTGAGATGCTGAGTAGGAAAGGACTTGAAGAATTTCTTCCATTTTTGCAGCAGAGGCCCCAAAGCCCTTCATATAGAAATACCAGCTCCAGACGCTCCCGACTATCTCTGGGAATTACTGCAGACAGAGAGCTTCTGACATTTTTGGAGATCTCAAAAGATGAGGATCCAAACAAATTTAACAGCCTTCCTCGAGCAAACACCCGCCAAGGAAGACCTAGCGTAGCTTGGATTGAGTCCAAAGAAAATAGAGATACTAATTTAAATGATTTGCACTTAAAACAAGCACCTGAAGCCAAAATGAACAGTGGTGATCAGCTCCAGCTACCCTCAGCTCAGTCCACTCACTTAAAGTACATGGCGTCAGGCTCTACCAGTACTAATCTCTACTCACAAAAGAACACTGACAACAACATACATATATCCAATGTGCCTTCTGAGGAGTCCACAGACATAAATGATTTGGCCCTTGCCTTTAGGGAAGATGAAGTTAAAGGATTTCTTAAGCTTGATATTCAAGGAACAAAGTGCAGGGAAGAGATGGCTTTAATAAATTCAGAGGAAGTTGGTGCAGCAGATGTAGAGACTCTAGATGACTTGAGCTTACGCTCCCTCAGCACGGCAGATGATGATGATTCAATGCCGTCCTGCAGAAGTTCCAAAGAGGCCTCTGGCAGTAAAGCCAAGTCAGCAAGTTGCAAGAGCAAAGTTTCAGAGCCCAGCAGTAGTGGCCCAACCTCTATGGATACCAGTGTTTCTGGAAGTAAAGAACACGGGCCAATGTTCTATACATCTGATACTACTGACTGTTCTCTAACTTTGGACTATTCAGAAGGAAACAATTTTAAACTAAGGGGAAGTGAAATGAGAAGGGAAGATGACAAAGTGCACTCCTCTGTGAATGATGGTCTGGATGGGAATATGACAATTCCTTCAAACCTGCATTCTGCTTCTGCAAGGGTGGCCTCTCTTCATACTTCCTCAAATGATAAAGAGGATTCCAGCAGCAAGCATGGGCTTCCTAAGGAAAAGCTTGTGAAAAGTAAAGAAACATTAGGACCAAAGAGAAACTCTCTAAAAGATAGATCACCAAGCTCCTCAAAACCAACTGGACCTCACCCTGGCCATACAGCTACTTCCAGGCCCATACGAACTTTGAACGCATCTGAAAATGAGAGTATGAGGAAAGTGGTGCCCATTTCTAGGTCAAGTAAAGCACCAAGCAGCGTAAAAAAACCAGAAGCCAAACCAGCGCCTCGGGAAGCCAGTGCAACTGAAACACGACTGTCACGTCGCAACTCTCTCCGTGGCACGACAGACACCATGCCAAGAAGTCCATACCGGCACAGCATATCAGTTGAGGAGCCAAGATTCCAGAGAGGGACTGCAACTACAAGCGGTGCTCATTTTGAGAGGGACCAAGGTCAGCAGAGGGGGGGCTCGTTCAAAAAGCCTGGTTCTAAGCCTATCAGAAATATTCCCAAGCCAAAACCAGATGAAACTAAGATTTGTCGCACTACTGTAAAACCCCAGACGACTACTGATGCTGCTAAAAGCATGGCCGTCAGCGCTCCCAAGACACCATCCTCCGTCCCAAGCTTTGCAAGGAACACAGTGGCCTCTTCTTCAAAGCGTGCGAAAGCAGATCCGGCTAACCCTTCCAAACCTCCAGGCTTCGCAAGGTCCATCTCTCAGAGGTTGCCTAAAATGAGACCAGCAGCAACCTGTGATGACCTGAGTCCAAACGAAAACAGTGGAAGTACCTTAAAGAGAGCAAGTAGTGTTAAAGTTGTTGGAAGAAGCTCTGACCATAGTGATTTTCTCAGCACTAAAGTGGAGCCTACACCAAAGGAAAAAGGTGTAATAGAAAAGTCTTCTCTTAAATTCAAAGACGCAAACCGGACCACACTAGGCAAAATACTGAAGCCATTACTAAAATAAGCATTTGGGGGAGGGTTGGTGTTGTTGGGTGGGGGGGTTTTTTATCTTGGAATGTGAACATGTGTTTTAAGCACTGGATGTCCTTGTAAAATATTTAAAACAGTAATATCACTGTTAACTGTAGTCTCATAGTAATTAACATACAGTAAATATGCCATTGGAAGATAGTAATTTCTTTTGTTCTGGTCTAAATTCTCCTTTAAGTATGAGTTTTTGAATGTATTTAAAGCTACCATGGTGGAGTACAAATGTAACATACCTTGTGCATTTGTGGTACAAGTAGTTGACCAAAAAACAAACAAACTTGAAGGAATTTTGAACTACAAGATGAAATGCCTTTGTCACAAAAAGTATGGATTATGGCCAGTTTTTGTATACATAACAATCTTTTTAAGACTCAAGCATTATTGCTAGTTGGTTCCTCCATTCAACGTTGAAGCTACTTCTGTGGAATGGTACAAAAATGAACTTTGTTAAACTGGCATTTTTTGTCTCACGTTTTTCCCTGGATTCAGGAATCATTTTTGCCTGTTGCAGAGTCCATTGCTGGCAATTGGACACTAGGAACCATTCACCTGAAATGGTAAAATGGGACATGCACTCTGTGTCCGTCTTAACCTCATTGAAGAATTTATGGCATGTCTTATTAGTGTGTATGTGTGTCTGAGGAAAACTCTGCAGGGCAGAAAGTTTTCTCTCCATGAATGTGGCAGAATTGTCATGCATGTACAAGTAGAATATAGTAAGAAGTGACAGGTGTTGGATCTAGTTGTGTAGCTGGAGGCCACGCCTATAGGAAATGCCACCAGTAGCTGTTAGGGATGATGCCTACTCCTGTTCTGACTCGTTTCAGTCATGTGCAAACTTGCCAGCTTTTAGTAATACAAAAAGTGCCATATATTTATGATACATATCAAAAGTGGTGCAGCTCAGCTTTTGAAGGCTGCAACCTGGTGCAGTGCACTTTCTTACCATTCCATATTTTCACTGGTTTGTCTACTGCCAAGTTACTTGAATGCTGGTATGGCTTTGAAAGAGCCGTCAGTTTCCCGTCCTCTTCCTTTCTTTGTCAACCTGAGTATTTAGCATGAAACATATAGCTTACGCATGACAATGCTTTTTGTGACTTAAACTTCTTTGGTGGCTTCAAATGTGGTTTTTAATGATGTTTAAAGAACCTAAAGGATGATTTAAAAGCTCATTCTGAACTAGTATTTGATAAGCTTTAAAAAAAAAATCTGCAGATACTGATTTTAATATTGTGTCAGACTAAGATACAGAGAATGAGGGAAAACTTGTTTGCTGTGCCGTACACCTTCCCAAGCAAAGCGTGGGTAGATGAGGAAACTGATCACTGTCCTCTAAAGCATTGTGTTTAAACAGTTGCCTTTTTATTCACGTATGAATGAAGCCTCATTTGAGAAAAAGGAAAACTTAGAAGATGAAAATCTCTTTAGACAAGTGGTGGTGTCTCATGAGTGATCTATTTGCCTGTCTGGTGCATCTTTTCCCCCTTCCATTTCATGACTGTATAATTCAGTCCAAATGAACTGTTTGCCCATATTCTTCCAAGGGCTATCAACCAACCAATCAGGGATATCCAACTTTGTGACTATAATAAGACAAGTGCCCCTTAACTCTTCCTGATTCCAATGTGAACAGTGTACCAAGATACCATTATTATATGGGGCCCCTTCTATGAGTCTGCCTCAAATGAGAATTTATATAGCCCACTTGCAGGTGAGGCCCTCGGAGTGAATTATTGTTTTCAATCTCAAGCTTTTGGACCTTCCTTGTGGGTTAAATATGAAAGTGTCTTTAGCCCTATCTGTATCTTTTTGTGCACACATCTGCAGGAGCAGGTGATAGACCTTTTTTAAAAACCTTTTTATCAGTAGTAAGCTTGAAAAAAGTAACTTAAATGTGTTTGGGAAATGTAAATAAATTTCTGTAAATCTGTGTAAAAGCAAACTGCTGAATGTATTTAACGGACCATTTATACATTTCGGAGTAATGTGGTAGTATAATAAAGTTCCCATTTACAGGGTTTGTGGTTTACATTTTCCCCTTTTTCCTGTTGTAATGTTGGTGTTAGAGCTCTAGTTGTTAAACTAACATGGTCTCAGTGTGGGTCACTATTATTCAGTCTCAAAAAGAAGGACAATAAAACAGAAATTCTGGAGTTTAAATTGCTGAATGAATTTCTTTATTGTTAAGACATGGTACCTACCTTCAGTTTCCATGATAAGGCATTTCTGGCAGAGGAATTCCTGCACTAAAGATGGGTTAAGAGCAAATATGTCTAGAGGGGGTTTGGGCTGAAAGTGAAAGAAGCAACACCTTTTGCACACACGGTGCGTTCTGGCTAAGGTAAATGTTTGTGGAACTTACAAGTCTGGATCTGCTGCTGTCTTCATGTCTTTTAGCTTCGTGTACTCTCCTGAGAAATCCTAGCTTCCATCTCTCAGGGGTTTAGAAGTAAGCTCTCTAGTCTGCTCCAAGGAGGTGTGGGGGTGGGGGCTGTAAGAAGCTTGCAAAGAACAATTTTTTTTGCAACTATTTAGTTGGTCTAATAAAAGATATCACCTCTACCCTAGGAGTTTTGTCTGCCTGTGTCCTTAGATCAACACAGTTACAACCAGCAATCAGAAATATGATAATTTGAACACTTTAAGTTCTTATTCCATTGAAATGTTAACTTAATGTTTTATTTCCTCCCCTGCCATATAAAAACAACAGTTGGCATAAGGGAGAATTTGACACTAGCCTGTATCAAGTGTGCATTGCTTTACCTCCGGGAGGGCTTTCTTCTGTGTTACAGACATGCTTCTGGGTGGGGGTGGCTACTGTTCTCCAACTTGTTCGGCTCCTGGCTCTTCTAGTTTGGTTGGTGCTTTCTTCCGTATCTGAAGTCTCAAGCACTGCAGTCTCAACCTGCTGTCTGACAGCTGTTGATGTAATCAAAGTAATGAATGATATATGATGTAATGAAGGCATCTCTTAACAGTTGAACTTGTTAAAATTTCACTTATTTTAAAATAGTTTATAAGGACCAACCTCTTACTGTAACTACCAACTGTCAGATTTCAGACACAAATAACTTTGGGGTTTGAATTTTCCATGCTGTGAAATTGCCAAAATTCTCCCCTACAAACAAATGTATTTATAAAAGGCCTTCAAGCTAAGTGTATTGCAGTTATTCCAACTAATGGGCAAATCCCCCTTTTCCAGGTTTTACTTTGCTAAACAGCAAACATTTCTAACAGGGGTAAGAGATGCCTCTGACCCTTGCAGTAAGTGAGAGAGAAATAGAGAAGTAAAAAGAGCAGACGGGTAATCTCTAGTGCAGGATGGCAGGTGGGCATTTTGGTACAGTCAAGCCTGTGGGAAAAAGCTGGGGGAGTAAGGGAGGATGCTGCTGCGTATGTTTAGGTATCTAAGCTATGCATCACACATGGGAACTGCATGCCCTGAATCTCTGACTCAATGGATTGCTTCCCTCATTACAACAGCATATGACTCTTATCAGGAAAGGAAGGAAAAGTCCATCACACCACCTGCGGCATGCAAGTCAGGACTCTGTCACCTGAAATAATCTGTTGGCATCTTTCTTATCTCATAAGGCTCTGCTTCTCCAGCTAACTGCTGGAATTTAGGAGGTAGCTATAGTTAAACAGGCCTAACTAAACACTGCTCTCCATTTCTAACTGCTGAATATTTTCCTTTAACTTGATACATGCTGTCTATATTGAATTGCCACTGCTGCCAGAGCTAACTGCATTGGTAAAATTTCCTGCGATCATTGTGAACTACACAAAACAATGGAGTTCATCTAACCTGTGTCACTACTTATACAGCAATCAATTTGTTTCTTTTGTATTAGCTGTCTCTCATTGGTAGTTGAAGGCTTCTGGGCAGAAAACTTTGTAAGTGTGGGTAAGAGGGGCAGGAGAAGGTGGGGGCTGAGGATGACGATGAAGAGGAGAGCACGTAAACAGCTCCTCATCGTAAGAGTGCATATTTGGCTTTAGGTATGGTTACATGAGGTCCTGTTGAGCACCCTGATCAAGTGTCTAGTTACTAGAGTGTATCAGGTCAGCTAAGTAAACAGGCCAAGCTTTTTACTAGCATGTGGCATTGCTTTTAGCATGCCTGGATTTTGTGACGTTCAAGGTTTCAGTTCTTTACCAGAGGTGATGACATTTTCAAAATAAAAACTTTTCAAAGTTTTTGAAAATCTTGCTAATCTGTTATTCTTCCTCCTTAGTTAACCTTCCATTGAACATATTTAGAGTGCAGAGGTTATATTAGCATATTGATTTGGTTGGGAGGGGTTTAGGGTGAGTCTTTGTATGTGCTGAGTCAATGCTTGGCAAAGGTGGCTTTGATAGGGAAGGAAGGAGAGTTGCATAAGTCTTCCAGGGAGATGTTCTCCCAGTCCAAAGTAAACAGTGTGGGAAAACTCACTTTGAATGCTGGTTATGGCTTGGAAGAAGCGGTAGTTCTTGTATCTCTCTTGCTTTAAATACCGTCTGCAAATATTCAGATATTCCCCTCCCCCCTCTTCCATCTTTGACTATCATTTAAAACACTTTGATGTCTTTATTTTAACACAATGGAGGAAAAATATAAACTCTGCCCACTTTTAACAAAGAGACATTTATCACTGAAAAGAACTGGCAGCTTCAGACAATTCCTTGTCTGGGAACAGGCACACATTTTCAATGGATGTCGAGATTCAACAGCGCAGGAGCTAAGACATAAAAGCAGAATCTCTTTTCAACCCCAAAATAGGGCCAAGCGAGTATTTCCTTTTTTATTTTGAAATGATTTATAAATCCTAGCAACTGAACAAAGGCCATGTTCATGTCTGCATCCAAGAAAACGCTGGCTACAAGTGCTTTCAGTCTTCTTCTAAACTTTGGTGTACTATGAAATTTTGTTTCTCAGGTTCCCTCTGTTCCAGTGCCATAGAAATCAAAGGAAGCTGCCTTTAGTACAGTACGAGGCAACAAACCATGGTTACACAGCATCAAAATTCCCTTGCAAAGCTAGCATTTGGGTCATCTATGTTAATACTGCTGAATACAGTTCTTCATTAAAGCAAAAGTTACATGATGCTCACCTATCGGGTTCCAACCTTGTAAATATAGCATATTTAAAATTGACTGAAAATACCTGGGGGACCTTGCCCAACCCAGTGTAGAATTAATTCTTGCTTATGTAAGTGTCACGTGTCCGCAGTTTACTCTGAGGCTATCATTTTGCTCAATACAAACTAGCTATTTCCAGTTTTCCCCTTACCTTGTGGCAATGCACAGTAATAATTGCCTACCATGGGAGGAACTGCTTGTCTACTCTAGATGCCAATATAATTTAAATACGTCAATACTCACATAAGCCACACTAGTGTAAATGTGTCCTACCAAGCCCAAAGACCATATCTGGAATTGAGAGTAAAGACTTACTAGTTCTAATGCTGCAATAGATTTGACGTGTGTTTGACAGTAATAATGATAAATGAACAGACCAGTTTTCAAGCCTATATTGATCCTTTTCATAGCATCATGAGCATTTTAAAGTTGCTTTGTATGAGCTGTTCTTGCTGGCAAATGCTTGTAAATATTACAGTCTCCATAAGAGTGTAGACTTAGAGAGCCCCTTGTGCCTGGTGAAACTGAAGCACGTTAACAACCATTTGACTACTGGTGACATACATCAGTTTCTACATGTTGCTGTTGAAGGTGTGACACTGTTTAGATGTTGCTAATGTTTTTCACAAGCAGAGGCTGATGATGTAGCTGTAGCTGATGATGTATGTATTCCTCTGCAGCCACCTGTCCAAAATGAAAACCTGGTAGAAATCTCTGTTTTCTTTCCCCTCCCCTTCACAGTTGTACTTTCCCCCTTTGCATCTCATTGCTGTTTCCTCCCACTCCTATTTCCTTTATTGTATTTTCCAGCCATCCCTATTATATTTTTTCCATCTCTCATTTGTTGTTTATCTCCCTGCTGTGTCCTGGCTTTGTTCTCTTTCTGTCTGTATGCTCTGGTCTGCCATTTCTACATTTCCTTTTCTTAAATGTAGTTTTCTTTTTCCCAACCAAAAGGAGGCCTTTTGCTCTCACTCCTCTCTTCAGTGTGTGCAATCTGAATGTTTTTCTCTGCCCGTTTTGGTACTGGAAAAAATGAGCCAAGAAACACAAGGATCCTGCTCCTTTCTCTGTGGCTGGAAGTTTGCACATGAGGAATACTGAAGGACCATATTGGAATATGTCCATAACTCAGCATGTTCCTTGCATTTAAACCTTAAAAGCTTATCTTTGCATAGTCCATTTGTGACCCTCTTGCCTCCTTGCAGCTGAGATTCCACAGCACATACAATATATTGACATTTGTTCAGTCATTTATATTCAGATAAGGCCCCAAACAGTGAGGAGGCATAATATACTAAAATGTCATAGCAGTGGGGGGCTTACCTGCATACAGTTATGTCCCACGCATATGGTCTTTTATTGGCTTTATGAGTCAATTGGGAAACTGTCATAATGAAAGACCCTTTCTGTCGAGACTCCTGGCTCACCCATATTGCGCTGACATGAATAAGTAACATAGATCTGATTTGTCACTTTTTAAATTGAGCTAAAAGGGGGGGGGGTTTGTTTACTAACATGCAGTTTTTATTACTTGGTATTAAATAACTAACCTTTATGAGTAGTGATACCTTCTCTTCTCGTGAGGAAATAGTGTGTAGGACATTGCCCAGCCCCCCATATCTCCAAAGGGTTTATCTGCTCAATTTCAATTTGCAGTTTTGATTAATTGTGGTATATAATGCTGAGTGGTTGAAATTTGTGTCTAGTTGATTTATAAAGTATGTAAACTGGGATAGTTATAAGTTTATTTGGTGCTTCTGAAAGAAGCTAGCTCTTATTAAAGATAGAAGTTCTCTTCCGCAGCAGCCAACAGTTTAGAGATGCAGGGTTTGTATAAGTGGGTTTAAAAAGAATGGCATGTGGTTCTAATAACCAAAGGTGTAACCAAAATAGCTGTGGACATCTGGCGAGGGCACTGAAAAAACACTCTGGTCTTGGAAGATTTGTAGCCCAGTGTATTCAAGCTTGCCTACCCTTGGCTGTCAGCACATTGGCTCACACATTATCCTAGTTTAGACTAAGCCAGAATGAAA